GAAAAAAAAAAACACATCAAGAAGAGTTCTGTAATTAGAAAAGAAGAAAAGAAAAAAAGAAAGAAAAAGGAAGCTCCAAAGGAAGATCAGTTCATCTCAAACCCCAAGCATTGAAAGCATTAAACAAACACACCTCTCTCTCTCTCTCGAACTCACACAGACTATACCCACACCGATAGTTCCCTATAATCTTCTTCCACTCTCAACAGCGAAGAGAAAAAAAGTGCCCTAAATAGAAATCGGAGCAACCAATTGTATCAAAAAACGTTAAAAAGGGGTTTATTTTTCACACCCAAAGCTTCAGTCTTTGTGCAGATTTTAATGAAGTAGGTTGGTTTCTATCTCTATACTCTTCACTTCTTTATTTTTTACCAAATCCGAATAGTGACCACACCGTTATTCTTTTTTTGGGTATCTGAATTTAGATAAATATCTGATTTTTACGTGTTTGACTTGTCTATAAACGGGAAAGGTTCTTGTTGTTTGATCCGATTTTGTTCTATTTATAATTGAGTAAACAATTGCTTTCGTTATTGATCGTGATATTTCTTGAATTGGGTTGAATTTTTTTGGGTGTTTATGGAAACTGATAAAAGATTAATTTTTTTGGAGTTGAAAGAAATTGGAGAAATTTTGAGGTTGAGATTAAATTCTAAAGCTATAATCTGCTTAGAATAGAGTTGTTGTTGTAAGTTGTGGGTTAGTTCTTGATGAATATTTTGGATATTTGTACGGTATAAATTAAAGATTTCCTTTTTGGGGTTTAGAGTGATTGGAGATTCTGTCCCCCATAAACAGAATATTGATGTGTACACATTTTTTGGTTAGGGATTTCTGCAATGCACCGTGTAGCAAGTGCAGGCAACACATCCAATTCGGTTCGGCCTAGAAAGGAGAAGAGGTTGACATATGTTTTGAATGATGCAGATGACACTAAGGTTAGTGATTGTTTGAAAGCTGTCCTCTTTTCTGTGTAAACTACGGTGACTATCTTTTCCGCTGATGTTGATAGTTTCCCTTAGTGTCCTCCGCCCCTGGTTCCCTCACTTTCGTCCTTCTCTTATGTGCATTATGTTTTATTTATCTATTCTGAATAGCGGGGAAGCTGAACTAAGCGGAGTGGAAATTGTGATTGCTTCGTTTTTGGTTCAAGCAGCACCATGTGATTGGACAGAAAAGACAAATTATATAGTATGGAATGAAATTGATGTGCATAGAATGAAATGAATAAGGAGAATTCATATGCGGACCACCTAGACAAATTTGAGATGGAAGGTAGTTAGCTTTTTTATTTTTCCAAGCGTCAGTTCTAATAAATACATTCTCAAAGTGTTCCACACTCCCAAAAAGGCCGTTATTCCCTTACTTTTACTGATAATTGTGATATCCAAGTTCGTTTGCGTGCAGTTTGATTAATCCACCAATTCTTGTTACTTCCCACTAGTACATGGTTACTTTCACTAAGGCTTAGATTGATGTGAAGAATTCACCTTGACCTGGCATTGCCTCGCCTGAGATTCGAAGCTTGTTCCCAAGGTTTTTACTCCATCTATTCAACTACTAAGGCACCCATTGAGGGCACCCTTACTCCCTGATACCATTGGACGCTCTTTGTTACCTCTCTTTTGGGTGCCTAAGATTTGTATGACATGTCCATATGCGGGGTCCAAAGATCATAAAGATAGTCAACCGCTTTTCAGGTGGTAGTTTATTTGAAGCAGCCAAAAGCTGCAATTTGCTAAAAAAATGGATGTCCTTGATTTGAAAGCTCAACTGAGCAGAGATCAACCAGCAACATAAAGTGTTCACGCCATATCTTGTTTTGCTGCTAGGAGTTGATCCTTTTTTCCCCACTTCATCTCCTTAATTTTAACATACAGCCAAAGGTACCGATAAACATATGCTAAGATGAAAGGATAAAAACAATATGAGGTGTAGCATATGGGATTGGGCTGCATTTTAGTTGGCGTGGAGATCAGATGAGATGGTCTCTCTCTCTCTCTCAAGGGCTGAAGGGTGTGGTTGTTCGTACATTGCTTCTACTATTAAAGACAAAAAAAGCTGAGAAGGCTTATCTAGTCCAGCTCTGCCTACGTCGATAACCAAATTTTAAGTGGATGCTCAGTGTACCAGTTATACTTTGACTTGTTAAATATCTTGTACGAATGCCTTAGCATGGATTCCTAAATTATACGATGTCACTTATTTATTCGCGGAGAGCCGTTACACATCCCAAAAAAATAAAATAAAAATGGAGAGCTGTTACCGATGAAATACCATTCTGTATCAAAGTCACCATCTGTTTTGGCGATGCTAAAAAATATAAAGTAGTGATTTAAAATGTCAATATTAGCTACCAAAATTGTTATCCTTATCTTTTTCTTTTCTGATGAGTTCATAGCATCAAATAGGTGCACAAAAAAAGTGAAGTACTAGATTTATAATACCATGAGTCAACAGGGCTTTTAACTTGTTATCCATCCAAAGCAAGCTACTTTAGCTTGTGCTTTAAATTACAAGTCATCTGCCAAGCCCACTGTCCTCTTCTACCCCCTTTAGCCATAAGTACGCTGTCGCATGAATTCTCTGTAAACATCGCATCTTTTCTAGCTTTCTAGTGTAGGACATACTTTCTCTTACAGTTTTATTGTGCTTTTGTCTCTAGATCAAACACAGCTTAAGAGAATATGTGATTCCAACAGTATTTTCTTGTCAATTTTATTATTTTAAGTCTTTAATGTTACATAAGTACTAAGTTAGAAATAGTAATTTTCCAATCAAGGTTACTAAAATACACCGACGCCTGCTCTGAAGAAGCCTATGTATAGTGTAAAACATTTTAAGTTAGGTAGCAAATTGCAAGATCATTCCCATCTACAATTCAAAGCAATGTAGCATTAGCTGACACTTTCTTCTGTATTAAGCTGAAAAGTTTCTATGCTAACTCAGATTCGTTCCTGTGACTTAAGTCATTAATATTTTCCCTTTTTACATCTATATCTTTGAAAGGTTATGCTATTTCCGTCTTCTCTGTCTATCTTTTGTTGTTTGTTATAAAATGTATTGATGTGAAGTATCCATCTCACCTTCTGGCCTGGCAACCAAGAAAGAAATGAACTCCTTGATGTAGTTTCAACTTAAATTAATTTCAGTTCTATTACAAGGTGGTTATCTTGAAGATTGTTCATCTTTCTTTCACTACTTTTTGCAGGTATACTATATTAGTAGATAGCCATTAAATGCATCATTTTTGCATGTATACCTTTCATTTTTTGCAGTTCAACAAATTCTGTTCAGTTACTCTGCTTTTCATCTCTGCCAAATGATTTCTAAACGTTGGTTCATGACTTTTTCTGTGTACAGCATTGTGCAGGTGTAAATTGTTTGGCTGTATTGAAGTCATCAGCAGCTGATGGATGTGACTACCTATTTACTGGGAGTAGAGATGGCACATTAAAGAGATGGGCGTTGGCTGAAGATGGTGCCACCTGCTCTGCTACATTTGAGTCACATGTCGACTGGGTACTGGCCTGTCTGGATTGCTAGTTTTATTTCCCTGCCCCTGCTGAAGTTTAATTTCATCTAGTTTTCAATATATATAATCGAGAAGAATATTTGCATTCCTCAGATGAGGATCACCAAGTATTAGTTCCTAGCTTCTGCAGTGCTCCATTTTGGCATGGAATTCAGCAGATTAGATGAGTGAACCTCGCAACCTGGTGCACATACTAGGATGTGTTGTTGACTTGTCTTTGAGATACTTAATTTAATACTTGGTGATGCAACTATATCCTGTTATATCATGTTTATTGTGAATATCGCAGACGTTGAGTTGTTCTCGGGGCTCATTAATCGTGCAGGTAAATGATGCAGTTCTTACAGGCAGTAACAGATTAGTGTCATGCTCATCAGACACCACAGTCAAGGTTTTTCTCTTTTGAACTTTTTATTATATAAATTTGTGTACAACTTTTACAGTTTCTATATAAAACTAATTTCGAAATTTCTTTTGCTCTGCAAAATTTATGTGGATCATTAGGTGTGGGATGGCTTATCGGAGGGCTCTTGTATTAAGACACTCCGTCAGCACTCTGATTATGTCACCAGCCTAGCTTCAGCAGAAAAAAATGTACAATTTTTATACAAAACCTTTTAGTATTGATTAATCATTTGATGAATCAAATTTATGGCCGAATCTTTCGGTTTTAATGTGAGTTTATTTCCCTGTAATTTCTGATTTGTTGTTACCATAATAACAGAGCAATGTTATTGCATCTGCTGGTCTTGGTGGTGAGGTTTTCATATGGGATCTTGAAGCTGCACTTGCTCCGACATCTAAATCAGGTGATGCAACCGAAGAAGACTGTTCAAATGGTGTCAATAGTTCAGGAAGTTCATTGCCCATGACAAGCATCCGCACTATTAGTTCGAGCAGTAACATTTCCTTGCACACCCAGTCTCAAGCATATATTCCTGTGGCTGCAAAAGGCCATAAGGAGTCAGTATATGCATTGGCAATGAATGAGAGCGGATCCCTTCTTGTTTCTGGTGGAACTGAGAAGGTATATTTCTGGTTGTTAGGTTAGTTTTTAATCTATTGGAATGTGCAGTTAGCTTACTACCAAAGCAGCTGTGTGTATGACTGTGGTCTGATTTTCTTCTAGGTTGTGCGTGTTTGGGACCCAAGAACTGGTTCCAAGACCATGAAGCTAAAAGGTCATACAGATAATATTAGGGCACTACTGATAGATTCTACTGGCAGGTATGTTGGATAAGCGATGCTGTGAAGGCCCTCTGACTGCTTTTAGCTCAAGTTGCAATATCCTTTGTTCATCTAAATACCATTGCTTCTAGATGCAAAAAAAAAAGGTGGCAAAAGCTTATTTTATTGTCTAGGCGTAATAATATATTAAGACTCACAAAATCTTAATCGTAAAACAATATACTAAATGAGTTATTATCAAATACGTAAAATAAATGTATAAATAAATTGTGATCTCTCAGGCGGCATTGTTCCGTCTCCCAACATGAAGTTACATTATTGGTCCATGTTCCACGTAGCTTTAGAGAAGTACATTTTGTATCCATATCTAGATGTTTTGCTCTTGGGTTAAGTTCCTATACCGGTCGAGGTATCCCTAGTGCCTTCAGAGTATGGGTAGTGTGACCTATTGAGTTCTTTTCAATAATGATTTTACTCCATTTTTGTAGGTTCTGCATATCTGGGTCATCTGATTCCATGATTAGGTAAGTATTGATTGTTCCATTACCTAATTTTCATAGACAACGGCTTCCTCTGCGGGGTAGGTGGTTTGGGGTTGAATCCTTAAATTCTGGCAAGTTTATGTTAGTGCAGTAAACAGCTTGGCTATGCTATCTGCATTGTTTTGTGAAAAGAGGTCATATATATTTTCCAAATCATATTTTGTGTCCACACTAGTCTGATTTTCATCTGATTAGAAGCTTCACTTTGCCTCCAACACTTCAGACTGTGGGATCTAGGTCAGCAGCGATGTGTGCATTCTTATGCTGTGCATATGGATTCTGTATGGTCACTTGCTAGCACTCCGACATTTAGTCATGTCTATAGCGGTGGAAGAGACCTCTCTGTAAGTGAACTTGATACAACTTATCCAATATGGCTCTAGCAAAAAAAAATGGCTCTCTCTCTCTCTCTTATGTATATATGTATATCTCTCTCTATCTCTAGCTCTCTCTACCCGTATTTCTATGCTTTCAGAGCCATTGTTCTCTTTGCTAAATTTTATTTGCACTTGCAGTTGTACTTGACAGATTTGGCAACAAGGGAGAGTGTATTGCTCTGCACGAAGGAACACCCTATTTCGCAGTTAGCATTGCATGATGACGGCATTTGGGTGGCCACAACTGATTCATCTGTACATAGGTGGCCCGCAGAAGTGCGTAATCCCCAGAAAGTTTTTCAAAGAGGGGGCTCATTCTTGGCTGGAAACTTGTCCTTTTCCAGGGCGAGGGTTTCTCTAGAAGGATCTACACCTGTGAGTTTCAACCCCTTTATATCCTTTCTTATATTATGGTTAAACATACTTGTAATTGCATCTGCCGGGTTCCAAAATAACTGCTAGTTCTAGATTCTCCTGGGCTTAACCAAGAAAGTCTTATCAAATTCAAATGCCTATTGTCTATTGACATGCTAACATAAGTTGCTATATGTAAGACTCTATTCGGGAACTTATTAAAGAGGAGAGTATTAGGATTTATTATTTTTTGTGAGCTCTCTATGGATCATTTGTATTTCGAAGTCAAAATATTTTTTTCTTTGTCTTTTTCTTATGTGGCTTAACAATTGTAGTTGATCCTTGTTTGCTTTAAATTCCAAAGTGTTTGAGGAAATAAGGAAGCAATTTATTCCCAAATATTCTTTTCTTTCTTTCTTTCTTTACATATTTAAAGTCTTGAAAAACTTACAGTTGGCCAATAATGTAGGTGCCTGTCTATAAAGAACCATCTCTTAGCATTCCTGGAACTCCAGGAATTGTGCAACACGAGATTTTGAACAACAGAAGACATGTCCTGACTAAGGTTAATTTGTCTTGCCTTTTTCCCTTGTGGCTTCTGACTTATTTTTTTTAATGGGTTAAACTATCTTTGAAGAATATAATTATGTAACCTGATTCTGGATTGTGCTTTTAAAGGATGCTGCTGGTACAGTGAAGTTGTGGGAGATCACTAGAGGTGCTGTGATTCACAACTATGGAGAGGTTAGAATGTAATGTTTCAAGTGATGTGCTAAGTGATAATGGCATGTGTTGAGAATGCTTTTACTTAATTGTCACCTTCTGCCTCTAAGTTTTTTTTGTTGTGTCCTCTTAACTTCCTTTCACCGTGTTTTTTTTTCTTTTTCAAATGTAGGTTTCATTTGAGAAGAAGAAAGAAGAACTTTTTGAGATGGTAAATATCTTCGTAGAATTCTCCAACTTTCATATGCAAATTTTCTTCTGATATTGTTTGCCTCTTCAGGTGAGCATCCCTGCATGGTTCACTGTGGACACTAGGCTTGGAAGCCTGGCTGTACATCTGGATACTCCACAATGCTTTTCTGCTGAGATGTACTCTGCTGACCTCAACATTCCGGGGAAGCCTGAAGATGACAAGGTATTAACTGATACGCTTCATCTGAACTTTTAGATATTTCAGATCTTATTTAGCTGCTATTTTCTTTTTGAAATGGTAAGTATTACTATATATTTATGCAAGAGATGAACTAACTTTTGTGTTTGGCTTTTTTAATACTTAGGTTAATTTAGCTCGAGAAACTCTTAAAGGGCTGTTGGCTCATTGGTTAACCAAACGAAAGCAGAGATTTGGATCTCAAGCTTCAGCCAATGGGGAAGCCCCACCTGGAAAGGATGTATCTACAAGGAATTTGACTGGATCAAGAGTTGAAGTAGACGGTAATGCGGACAATGATTCTGCAGTATATCCCCCCTTCGAATTTTCAGCAGCATCCCCTCCATCAATTATTACAGAGGGCTCTCAAAGTGGTCCATGGAGAAAAAAGATTACTGATTTAGATGGAATGGAGGATGAGAAGGACATGCCATGGTGGGTAATGGATTGTGTGATGAACAATCGCTTGCCTCCCAGGGAAAATACCAAGTAATATTTCAATATAACTGTTTTCTAAGTTGTTCACAGTCGCTTGCATGTTGATATTATAGAGCATTCTTTTACAACTAAAAGGGAAGTCTTTCTGGAGGGCAGTTACATCTCCAGTAACCCTCTGAGTTACAGCAATAGTTGAAAAACACGTTATGGTCTTTCCTTCTTCATGTGCAAAATTACTTTTTCCACTGACCAGTTTTTCCCCTCTTCTCAATGGTTTGCAGATGTAGCTTCTACTTGCATCCATGTGAGGGTTCTACTGTCCAGATCCTTACCCAAGGAAAGCTAAGTGCACCTCGCATATTAAGAATTCACAAAGTGAGCATCTTTTCCTTGAATCTTCTGGTTTATTAAGTGTTGTGGTGATCTTCAGAGGGCCCTGTTGGCTACTCACATCACTTGTTATGTTCTGCATACTACACTTCCACATTTTTCTTTTCGTGGTTCTCTTACAAATCAGTTGCAAAATAATCTACATTATGTAGAGGACGAATATGACAAAGTTGCACTGATTTGTTTTTCAGGTCATCAACTATGTCGTTGAAAAGATGGTTCTTGACAAACCCATGGATAATATAAACTCAGATGGAACTGGAGGACAGGTGACACACCCAGCTCTTGGAGGAGATGGCTTATTTCGGACTGGGTTGAAGCCTTGGCAAAAGCTTAAGCCATCTATAGAAATCTTGTGCAATAACCAGGTAAGTTCAGGTTTCTGTCTTCTAGTGTGTCGTATGCTTAGCTGGTTAAGAACTAATTTCAAGCACTGTTTTGTTTATGCATTTCATCTTTTTATACTTTATGGAAGTTTTGAAAGTCATATTTTAGCATTAGGACTGCCAACCAATCTTTGTATATGTTGGAGGATGTGGTAGATAATTGGTCAGTTGGTAATATGCTATGTTACTCGGACTCTCGGAAGATGTTGTCGGGTGCGTGTCCGACCCTCCAAAACTAGTGTATTTAGGAGGATCCGACACGGGTGCGGCAATATTTTTGGAGAGTCCGAGCAACTTAGGTAATATGAAGGCTCTGCTCACTCTGGTTTCTGGTTAATGGACTCCCTTTTGTTCTTTTACCAGGTTTTATCTCCTGATATGAGCTTAGCAACTGTCCGTGCCTATATATGGAAGAAACCTGAAGATCTTGTCCTCAACTACCGGGTGTTGACTAGCAGGTGATAGGATTATCTTTATCAGGTATATTCATCATATTTTCTTTACCTATTTTGTATTCTGCATTTTGCTTTCTACACTGCCCCACCCACTCTTCTTTTTGGGCAGTTCAATTGCTTCCATCTTTTTTCTTTTGGATGGAGCTATTTTGGTGGGTTGGTTGTGATTTAGAGTTGATTAGTTGGTAAGGGATAGATGAGAAGGAGTTTGGGGCTTTGATGCGGACCAAATACTCATGCTATGTGGTGACAAATAACAATCTTTAGCGCTATTCCATTAGTATGATTTAAGAGTTGTAATTGCTTTTCCTGGTTACATATCCAAACAATCTGATAGTTTCACCTTCAGCTCTGAGTTAGTGACAAAACAAACCAATAATATTAGTTCAGGAGCACTGTTCTATATATCTCAAAGATGCAATCATATGTCCTACCTACGTTTTACTTGATCTCCCGTTTGCTAGCTCTCACTTGTCTGCTTTTGCTTTGATAGCTTGCTGCATTGACTAAAGTATTGAGAACTTGTATCTTTTCCTTGCAACTGGACATTGCTATATTCTTCCTGCTTTTTCAAATTCAAAAATCAAAATAATCAAAAACTCTGCCTTGGACTTTCAAAGGATCTGCCAACCAATTCTTTCTCTCCCTCAGTCTTCTGATTATTGGCTAGTTGATTACTGTTATCAGGTAGTCCTTGCTTCAACTTGTATTAGAGCATGTTCCTTCTTTCCCTGCGTCCCTTTACCGAAACATAAAACCTAGTAAACTGGAGAACTCTTTGGTTTTCAATTGTCCCTTGTTTTCGCTTATTGGTGCTGGTTGTAAAATTAGGAAAAGTTGGAGTCTTCCACGGCCGTTACAGCATATAATGTAGTTTTGAGGTATAGGTGCCACGATATTATTTTATTTTTAGATGACATGAATTAGTGTTTTCTAAAGGCAAATAGAGAAACCACAACTATAACATGTTTTCTGTTTTTTTATTCATATACAGACGAAGGCATGCTTGAGCAAATCATATACAAAGGTTTAGCATTCAACTGGCTGCCGGCTGCTGTCATGATTTATTGCTCCCTTGTAAATCTGGGATTCAAGTGGTTGGATTAATTAGGAAAATTCACACGCGGACCACTTTGCTGTTTGCACATCGTTAAGGTGGTAATTATTATTGAATTTTGGTTTTTGGTGCTTTTAGAAAAAATAGAAAGCTTGCATTTGCTAGAGGAAGGATTTTTGGTTTTGAGGGTACATGAGACTATGTTACCTTATCAAAAAAAAAAAGGGTACATGAGACTGAATTCCTCAAGAGAAAGAGCTCATGACAATGTCGGGAGCTATATGAGGCTATAATGCAAATGCAAAGGGTTGGGATGTTTGGATTGTCTTCCAACAACCACACCGTAGGGAAGGTGAATAATATCTCCAGAAGTAAAATTTATCTCTTCTGACCGAACTAATTTATGTATTTACTTTCTTTCCTGTTTCATTTACATTGTAAATCTTCTTTGTTATTAGTATTCTCAGTTTTAGTGGGGAAGATTTGTTGACAGGCATTACATAGCAGAGCAAATCGTTTTTACATCGACCTAGCCAGTTCTTACTGACATTGCTATGGCGTTGCTCTGAATTTCGGACATGGTGAAGTTTTGCGCTTCTGTATTTAGAACTATATCTATTAATCATTCAAGTTTTGAATGAAATATTCTGGAAATAATGATGGAAAATAGAAGTGCAGTCCTAAAACAATAATGGTATTTGGGATCAGAATGCATTCAAGACAAACTTGGATTATAAGGTTCTTTGCACTCTGTATATCCTCTGAGAGGCATGGGCATGAATCATGATGTAAAGAATTATGGTAGAAGTTTTCATTGCCAGAATGCTAAAAGTTACAGGATCTCCAAATTTAACACTCTGTACTAAAGGTTCAATGAAGTATCTATTAACCTCATTTTTTTTTTCCGTTAATGATTCTACTTAAGAACTTTACTAATATTGTTTACGAGCATAAGATTAACAATTAAGTTATTTTGGACTATAATAATTTGATGAAACACAAGGTTAAGAAAGCAGATGAAATATTTTGAAAACGTTCCATACTATCTCAATTGCTACAGCTGTTAGACTGCCCGTTTGGATTAGCTGATTGTAAATAACTACTAATGTATGGTGGAAAAATGTTGATAAGTTGTTCTTTTATTAAAATGGTTAAAATATCCTAAAAAACTTTACAAAAATTATAAATTAAAAAAATTTCTTTATAAAGAAAAAGATAACAACGAATATGGAAGGAAAAGAAAGTTTAAAAATTTATTTTGGGAACAATATTCTGTGAATTAGAAAATATTAATAAAGATAAACTAGTAAAAGTCTTGGTCAAATTAAAAGTGTTTATAAGTTAAAAAGCCATGACTTGGGGAGACCAACTTATGGCTGATTTTAGCTTATAAGCACTTAGCTTAAAGGTACTTACAAGTAGGGCTGCATATCGGGCGGATTGAGCGGTTATTTACTTTTTAACGGTTTGACTTATCGGTTATCGGTTTTTAGATGTATTAATCCTCTAGCCACCCGATAAGATATTGGGCGGATTGGTATCGGTTTAGCTCTATTGGGCGGTTTATCGGCCTAATTCAATCTATATTGAACATGACGCAATTTACCAAATTTAGCGAGGGTCCAAAATTTGCTTCGCCGTGCTTCAAATGTATGCTGATGTTGGTCAAAGAATGGATTTCTTGCTCATGTTTTATAACTGCTCCAATTTTCTTTAGATGTCGCTCTAATTTCTAAACAATCCAAGAACACCTGCCGAAATATGTGCGGACTGACGTTTTTTTTTACATGCAAGCAAACCTGCAGATGTATGTGTTAAACCCAATTTAACAGCAGATTCTACTCGTTAAACTATCTCTTGTTTGTTAAGTTTTGGTACTTACACTGCACCTACTGGAGGTGGTAAGAATACGTGAAGCAATCAAGTAAATTATTTTTGGTTTGATAGGATTGAAAAGAATGCGCGAAACAAGAAATTAAAATTTGTCTAATAGTAAATTAGTAATAGAGAATAGAGATAGAGTACTGGAAGTGGAAGAAGGGTTTTTGATTATTTAATATATATATGGATAAAAATAAATTATATATATATATATATATTCTTAACGGGTTAACGGATTATCCGTTAAGAAAATGGAAAAATCCGCCCCCAAACCGATAAGCCGTTAATAAAAAAAATTCAATCCGTTCCCCGTCCGTTAAACTGTTAACCCGATACCAATAAGCCATTAAGCTTCGGTTTCGGTTCGGTTTTGAACACCCCTGCTTACAGTAAAAATAGCACGGTATAGCAAGTTTTCAGATTGGTCAATCAAAAATAGCCAGTGTTTACCAAGTCAATGAAAAATAGCCACCATTTTGCTGCAATGGAGACCGGTCCAGCATAATATATTGGAGTTTGGTGCACTTGTGTATGAACTCCAGCATATTATGCTGGACCGGTATACTTTGCTGGCTCCAGTATAATATACTAGAGACTGGAGCACTGGTGCTCCAAACTTCAATATATTATACTGGACCAATATACTTGCTGGAAATCCAGTATATTATGCTGGAGTTCTAGTGTACTTATGCTGTAACTCCATCATATTATGCTGGAGTTCCAGCATACTATCCTGGAACTCCACTATAATATGCTGGAGTTCAAGTATACTTATGCTGGAACTCCAGCATAATATACTGGAGTATTTTCCGGGTTTTGAACAGTGCTTTCGCCCAGATTTATCTTTACATAAAAAGTGGCTAAATTTCGATTACTTTTGAAATTGGGCTATTTTTGAACGACCAGTTGTAAATCTGGCTATTTTTAAATTTTCCCTACTTACAAGCTTGGTTGACCAGCTTATAAGCTTAGCCAAATACCCTCTTACTATTATTACTTCATAATGTATCCTGTGTGGACTTCCTTTGATGTGATGTGAGCAAAACGATCTACCAAATGCTTTAGGACCCGTTTGGCCATAGATTTTTCCAAAATATATTTGGGGTTTTTGGCAAATACATATTTGGGTATAAATTTTATCTACATTTTGACAAATTCCCAAAACCAAGAGCTGGTTTTGGTCCAAAGTATCACTATTACATTTTCTAAAAATTACCCCAATCTTTTGTATTTTATAAAATAGCCCACTATTTATTATTTTGTGACAATCCTACTCCGTTTTTTCGGTCATCTGATAGTATATTATGTAGTTCATTATAAAAATAATAATTTTGTACCAAATTTATTTATGTTCAGGACTATGGTTTGCGATAATATAATGAATGTTATTGATAAATGTACTGTTGGGTATTTGTGATAGTTTTTAGAATTTATGGGTATAAGTCATGTTTCATATTTTTTCAAAAAAAAAGTAAAATATATTTTGAATACTTATGTCCAATCACATTTTCATCTTCAAACAAAAATTTTCAAAATAATTTTGGGAATCTATAAACGCCAGCTTAAAGTTGAATATGGTTTTGTGAAGCTGTTGGCTTATCGGTAATTCCTTCTGCTGTTGAGAGACTTTAATTTATTATCATTATTATTATTATTTTTCCATCAAACAAAAAACATTTCAATTATCCAGCAGTCCAGAAATGACATGAACTTTTTAAATGCAAAAATGGAGAAGCCGAATCTGGCAACATCAGTTGAAATTCACTACACTACAGACCAATACAAAATAGTAGGACATCGATCAAGAAGAGGTAATAAAGAGTATTTTCATGTACTTGCACATTTAGCACCTATTTACACGATCAGAGTCTCGAGTTCTGCCCTGTAAATTCTTTTCATTTGATCTGATGTTTCCGTCACTGATCTTTCAAAACTTTGGCGAGAGCATCAAAAACACCCGGCAAAGTAACATCCTCGACAATGAGGACCTTATCCCTGGATTTCGATCCAGAACCTATAGAAACTTGTCTTCTTTTGACCCCAATAACGGAGCTTATATAATCTATTAGGGCAGCATTAGCTTCACCATCTTTAGCAGGTGCGTCTATTTGGACACCAACTGCATCGTCATCCAAGTCAGTGACGGTGGCGATTTTGGACCCTGGCTTGGCGTGGATCGTGATGGCGACGGACGACGGAGGAATGGCGCGGATGCACGCCGGAATTTTGGGAGTTGAAACAGCCGGCTGAGTTAACTCGGCTGAGTTGCTTTTACCTTTGCTTTTCTTCGAGGGAGGCATCTCTAATCTAAAGAATGGATACCTGTTAGAGACTTTAATTATCAGAACCGGGGAATTTCAATAAGTTTATTAAGGATTTAACCCGACATATCTAAGAAAAATAATATTTCATTTTTTTAAGAAAAAAAAACATCATTAAATAAATACTAAAAAGGCTAGACCTAGTTATCAGGTTGGACAATAATGGGCCTCACTCATGACCCAATTTGATGGGTAAATTTTAAAAATAGCCAGATTTACAACCGGTCGTTCAAAAATAGCCTAATTTCAAAAGTAATCGAAATTTAGCCACTTTTTATATAAGGATAAATCTGAGCGAAAACACTGTTCAAAACCCGGAAAATACTCTAGTATATTATGCTGGAGTTCCAGCATAAGTATACTTGAACTCCAGCATATTATACTGGAGTTCCAGAATAAGTATGCTGGAACTCCAGCATAATATGCTGGAGTTCCAGCATAAGTACACTAGAAATCCAGCATAATATACTGGAGTTCCAGCAAGTATATTGGTCCAGTATAATATACTGGAGTTTGGAGCACCGGTGCTCCAGTCTCTAGTATATTATACTGGAGCCAGCAAAGTATACCGGTTGAGTTCATACACAAGTGCACCGAACTCCAGTATATTATGCTGGACCGGTCTCTATTGCAGCAAAATAGTGGCTATTTTTCTTTGACTTGGTAAACGCTGGCTATTTTTGATTGACCAGTCCGGAAACTGGCTATACCGTGCTATTTTTACCAATTTGATCCCAGCAGACCCAAGCCCATGCAGTATAAGAGAAGAGGAAAAGGTGGGCGAAGTGCAACAATAGCCACTTTTAAGCCCGCTATTTAAAATATATCCATAATTTATAATATATTTAAGATTAACCAATTCACCCAAACTTCAGAACTAAATATCCTGAATTTCAAATTAGCAGCTAAAAAATTCAGGACATTAAGTGTTGAATTTTTGAACTACTAATTTAAATTTCAGGACATAGGTTTCGAATTTCTAGACACAATTTTCGAACTTTAGGACACGATGTCCTCAAGTTTGAACTTTGAGGTTTAAACTCTAGGATGTTGTGTCTTGAAGTTTGATCGAAATTGGCTAATCTTTGAATATATTGTAAATTGTGGAAATAATTTAAACAAAATACTTAAAAGTAGCTACCTGGTGTCATTTCCACGAAAAAGGTAAGGGAAAAGGAAAATGGAATTTTGAGTTTTTTTTTTTTTTTTAGGGTGGGGTGGGGGGTAATTAGGCTTTTCGGGGTTTTTCTAATTAGGATTTTTGTTAACTCTACCCACATAATTGCTCTATATGAGTTCTGATTTTGTGTTTTCTCTCTGCTGAATGGGATAACTGTTTAAAGAAACACAATACTCCAAATAAGTTATACACATAATTGATATGGCCTTTAGGGAGGGATCGTTTGGTTTTTAAACAAGTTATGCATGGATGAAGAAAAATAATATAGTTTAGAAACATATTATGTACGGATTATAATAAGATATCAATAATACAGTGTTAGTAATAACTAATAAAGGTATTTTATTCTTAAAATTTAGGTGGGAATAAAAGCAATTTTATGCAGTATAAGTCAACATCACTAACCAAATATCACTTCAGATAGGGATGTCCTTACCTTTGTCAAACAAGAACACTAATGTAATGATTATTTTTGTTTATTATTGCTCAATATTGACAGCAAATCTAAAGAAGATAAATGTTAGTAATTTTATTCATTATTGCTCAACAATGACAGCGAATCCAGAAAAGATCAATGTCCACCCAAATTGCATATTAATTTGATTTTGATAGGGATAGAATTGAGACGTCACATAGAAAAAAGTCTTTACAAGAATTATCTACTCAAATGGATGAATTTCACATATCAAAAGTACAAATTTCCCTATTTTGACTATGATTAACAATTTATTACGGGAAAAATAATTAGTTACATAATTTTATTTCAACGGAAAAGGAAAGAGAAAGAAGGAAACGTTTTAGGTAGTTTGCAAATTATAGAATCTGCCACCAAATTCTCCACCAACAGTCACCATCAAACAATTCAAGCTACTTACGAGATTCTCCATTCTCTGCAAAAGTTGTAGAGTAGCATTTTTTACCATTAAAATTTCTCATTAATGGAGTGTATTTCCCATAATAAGCCACACATGGGTTCTTCTGATTTGGTAAGTTAACATCCAATCCCACTCTCGTTTACAATTTTTTAATTGTTTATGAACAGTGCTTGTTCTTTTGTTATCTCGAGAAATTTCCAATAAATTGGATGGTATGTTTCAATAGTTTAAGTAAGGCCACATGTAAAAGTTGCAGTTTTGTCAGACCCCACTTGCCTTATTTTACTACTATCTCTATGCACCTTCCACTTTCACATCTCACTGAGGGTTAATTTGTCTGCTCTGGATTGGCTATGAAGTACTAGTGGTGAATTCATTGTTGTTTTTTGTGTGTGTTTATTTGTTGTAATAGAAGTTTTTTTAGACAAGAATCTAACAAAGCTTTGTGTCTTTAGCTTTCTTTAATTGGTTGGTTGGTTCAGATTTCATGTGATAAGAGGAGTCTTGAGTTTTCAAAGTTTCTTTGTTTTTGCAAATTAGGCGTTCATTTCTGGTTTCTTTCACTTTCACCAGCTATTCTTCTTGTCATTCCTTTTGATGGTAGTGGTGGACAAAACGTGTTAAATTTCGCTTTCTAGTGTTGTTTTCATATAGAGAGTGAGAGAGAGGGCCTATATTTTGGAGCCTATTCAGTACTTGTTCGAAAGTTTGAACTTTGCAGTTTGTGGCCATTGGTTGCAGAAACCATGGCTTCTCTTCTGCGAAATTTCTGGGCAACCCCTCGTTTTGCTCTTAACCAAGACTATAAGCCTCAGTGTATAGCTAAAATCAGGTGCTTAGCTAGCAGAGACTCCACATTATTGTCTTCGGATACTGTTACAGTTAATGGCGTGTCTTCTATTGAGGAAAAGGAGAAAGTTATCCCAATAGATGATGTGGAAAATGGTCATCTGACTTCAAGTATTAAGGAGAAGAGCAAAGAGGATATTCAAGACAAATTGGAACCCCTTTGGGATGACGGATATGGAACTCAAACTGTGAAGGATTTTCTTGAGATAGGATCGGACATTATTAAGCCCGATGGAGGTCCTCCGCGGTGGTTTACTCCCATATCAGCTGGCCCTCCTTTGAAAGACTCTCCTCTCCTTCTTTATCTGCCTGGTAATCTTCAAAATGAAAAGAAAAATAATGATTGAACAAAGCTTTTGTTATAATTTAGTGGTACAGATAGGGAAATTAACACCAGTATTTGTAGTCCTAAATTTTGAGGAAAAGCCTTTGAATCGATTAGATATATGTAGCAGTTCATTTCAGCAAGTCATGCTTGCGATTTCTAGGACACAGTTTTTGTTGTTGAATTTCTGTAGGGTTTCCTTTGCATTTTTAGATGTAGCAATATATTTCAGCAAGCCATGCATGCTGTTCCTAAGATACAGTTTTTATTGTTGAATTTGAATGACCAACTAGAATGCTATTCAAATGTATAGGAATGGATGGCACTGGTTTGGGTCTTGTTTTACATGAGAAGGCTCTTGGGAAGTAAGTACCGCACACTCTTCTATAACATGTAATAATATTCATCTGGTTCTGGTATTGTTCTTTCCCTATTGATGCCTAGGCAGCAATCAGTCAGCTTCATGATTCCACAAGTATATGATACTGTAACTTGCTTGTTGCAGAGTTTTTCAGGTTTGGTGCTTGCATATTCCTGTGTATGATCGAACACCGTTTGACGGTATAGTATTTCTTCTCTTAATTACTGCTTTGTGCATATGTTGGTTTCAATTGAGAAACCATCTATTCTGGATTTATGTTGTACTTGCAACAAGTATCAATTTTAGAAGCTTTACTGTACAAAATCACCAAGCGAAAGAGGTCACTGTTAAAAAAAATATCATAGGTTCCTGCATTTGCAAGGACTGATAGAAAGAATTTGGGTGACTACTTGAAGAAAAAACATTGGAGGCTGCTGGAAGGAATCAATAGAGAAGGCAGTAGTTTGACATTATGTATGTCTCTCCTATTATCTCACATGTGTCTCAAAAAAAAATTATCTCACATGTGTCTCTCTTTTAAATGATTGAATTAAGAACCAAACTACTTGATCACATGCTTAGGGAATAAAAATTGGCAGAGAGAAGAAATTGGAGTTTTATGTTTTCTTGCTTTCTAGTACTTCTTTTTCTTTTCCATATAGTTGTCCTTGTATGGTTAACTGCCAGCCAAAAGATTTAAAAAATTGGAAAAAATGGTGAAGGTCTACTTCTTACTGTTTGGAGAGTGGGGTTGAGGAAATTATAATGATGCTTTTTTTTTTGTGGGTTCAGTCATTTGGAGTTTCTTTCTTACTGTTTGCAAGGTGGAATTAAGCTATGAGCTCAGAATATTTCTTTGACATATGTTGATTTTATCTGAATGTGTTTTTGTTTTGGTTCATCTGTAAGTTGAGATTTATCACAGCTGGAAAAGAATATAGTTTATGATAAAAATCTATTTGCTTAAATCGTATAGAGCTGGTGGAATTTGTCGAGGAAACTGTGAGGGTGAAGCATGTTTCATCTCCAAACAAGCCTATATATTTAGTTGGAGACTCATTTGGAGGGTGCTTGGCTCTTGCTGTTGCTGCTCGTAACCCTAAGATTGACCTTGTTCTAATATTAGCTAATCCAGGTAGCTATCAGAAAGAGAGCAACTTCTTCCTCTAACTCCTTATGGCATGCGGTAATAATCCATTATCTAATTTTTAATTCTCTATCTTTCAGCAACTTCATTTGCCAGGACGCCTCTCCAACCTCTGCTTCCTCTTCTAGAGTCTTTGCCTGATGAATTTCATGTGACAGTCCCTTATCTTCTGAGCTTTATTATGGGTATAATTCAATCTCTTCCCGAGAATATATCCGTCTCTAACCCAAGTTTAGTCTTGGTGCATTTATTGAAATGTTTCTTTGATTTCTGACCTTAACAAGATCTGTGTTGCCATTCTTGTTATTTTAGCCGTTGCGTGTTAATTGATGGTCGTCATTTTCCTCTTTAGCTGAATAAAATTTCAAGTGTTCATAGTGCTGATATTTCTTCTACTAGAAACTTGTACCACACATATAAATCTTGATTGGAGTAGTTCCGGAATTATTAGAAATGGTGTATTTTTAGCCACACATCTATCCAAAACTGAGTCGCTTATGCATCCTTAGTTCTTGTTGATTTTCTTCCTGTTCGAAAATCGTGTTGAAGAGGATATATTTTTTATAACCCTTTATTTCGTCCTTTTCCCCTTTTGCATTGATGAACAATGTGCAGTTGCAACTGGCAAGTTCTTCATATTGTCAACAAAATAATGTGCCATGTCTGCATCAGGTGATCCAATGAAGATGGCGATGGTTAACATTGATTCCATGCTTCCTCCTAGACAAATTATTCAATGTCTCACTGACAACCTCGCTGCTTTCCTGGCCCACCTTTCTGTAAGTTCTGCTTGAACTACTTCGATTCATCCTGGATTTAGGTTTCTCCAATGCTACAAGAAGACTTTTGTATAGCTGGTTTTAGCGAGTGCTAGTTTCAGTTTCTTGACTTGTTGTCTAGGATAATAACTATGATATTAACCAAAATTATAGTTCTGTCAGAGCTTGGATCAAATTAAAACAGAACTCCTTGTATGAGTGACAGAACTTTTCATGTTTAATTACTTTAGAAATTATACTAAGAGAGTAGAAAAGAGAAGAAAAGAGAAGAAAAGAGAAGGCCACAATTAGAAGTAGCAGAAGAGGAGAATGTGCATACTAGAAGAAGAACGGCCATTGTTTAAAGAAGAAAAATAAGAAGATTGATGCTTCTGCTTGGTCAATCAAATGAATTGAAGTTCCATGTCATTTTTCTCCGCTAGGAAATTGTTTAGGGATTCATGTTACAGACTTACAGTAATTGTATCCCTTCCCTTTCTTCAGGGTGTGGCTGATATTATACCAAAGGAAACTCTTCTCTGGAAGTTGAAGCTTCTTAGATCTGCTTCATCTTATTCAAATTCCCGTCTCCATGCTGTTAACGCCGAAGTACTTGTGCTTGCTAGGTCTGATCTCTGTTCTCTTTATGTTGTTGTGACTGAAGTCTTTTTGTGCGGGTATGTAGGTTCAAGCTTTTTGCTCAATTCTGAATATTGGTACACTAGGCCTTGTAGTTATGCCTAGGCCTTTTCTAGACCAATTATCTAAAGAATTAGTTTATGTTTCTTCAGCTTTTCTTTTTTTGGTTTTTCTTTTTCTTTTTTCGTTTTCTCTCTTTTTGGTGGATCATCTCGTACATTACGAAGCTTATAAGTAGTCTTTGGACCAAAACATTTAATTCAAATATCTTGCACTACAGCGAAGGTAAAGTTCGTGGGTAGAGTCTGTTTTGGAGTAGTTATCATTTGCTTTACGAAATTGCAATAATCAATTTCATTGTTTTTGTCTGGGATAATAACTCATGCAAAACTAAAGGTGAGAAATACTCTCTTTACTTAGGTTTTCATCAGTTGTTATACTTTAGGGGTCATAATAGTTTTTTCGGTTCGGTAAAAGTTATACTTTAGGGGTAATAATAGTTAATAAGCATCGATTTTTCTTTTCCATAATAATCATCACCTTCGGTTCCATTAAATTCTTTAACCTTTCTTAGTTGATGTTCTGAAAAGTGAAAAAAATCTCATGGAACCTGAATTGATGTATATCCTTAAGAGCATACTTCTGCCTTATGAGGGAAAGATTGCTAATAATGCTAATATCTTCTGTAGGATTTCTCTCTGTATTCCATGCATGCATGAGCTTGAATTTATTCTTCCTATTGGATAAACATTTTTAAACAAGAAGTGATGGAACTGAATTGTAATGTATAGTGGCAAGGACAACATGCTTCCAAGTGCAAATGAAGCTCAGAGGCTAGCAAGTTCATTACGAAACTGCAAAGCACGGTACTTCAAAGATAATGGACATGCTATTTTATTGGTAAGTGAGGAGTTCTTCCTTTTTGGGATCTTATCATGCTTCTTCCTTTTAAAAAAATAAAACTAACTGCTTTCTTTCAGGAGTTACTGTCCTTACTATATTTGTGGTAACTTTAGAGTTTAATCAGACGGTAGCTGTAGGGAGCCTCAATAACTTATCATTGTTTTTAAATTTAAGTTTCGCAGCCTCTTGTAGAAATGCAGGGTAAACCGCGCATAGCGGGAGCTTAGTGTACCGGCTGCCCTTTTTTTTAATAAAAAATTTAATTTTCATAATTTGATTTAATTCCCAATTGTTTTTCTTGTTTCTCTAGGTGCCATATAAATAGATATTAAGATAACACTTCACTCTTACTTTAATTTACTGATCCAAAATAAGCTGTCACTTGCCGCTTGCACTTCTTAGTTTTCGAAGTTAGAACAATTGAATAATTTAAAAGTTTTCTATGAGTACAAGTCCCTCTGGACCTTTTACATTTTTTTTTCACAAGTGGCGTTCAGTGTTTAGATAATAATAGCATTTGAGCATGCTTAATATTTTATCAAGTTCAAACATGAAGTTTGCAGTAAAAGTAGCATTAGGAAAATAAAAGTGCCACATTTATGGTTTTTGGTGAGTCTGGTGACTGGTAGATGTATTCCTGTAACATGACCTTATGCTATGTGGATGGATTCTGTTGTGGGAACTTTGAAGCAGTTGGTTGACTGCAGTTTTGATTGTGCAGGAAGATGGTATTAATCTGCTATCCATCATCAAAGGTACTAGTAAATATCGTCATTCAAAAAGGCATGATTATGTCATGGATTTTCTGCCCCCTAGTATGTCAGAGTTCAAGAAAGCAGTCCAGGACTTTAGGTAATTTGACTATTTGAGCGTAAGGTGCATCAGGCAAATACTTGGTTGTAGCATATCATCGAGCATAAGCTTATCCCTTTTTCCCTTTTTCTATTTTTCCCAGTAGTTCTTCCTTGTTTCTCATTGTTCTTTTTCCCTCTTGTTTGCATGAGCTTTTCTTTCCCTGTGCAGTCTGTAGTAGAATACGTATGTTTGTGTAGTCGAGCATATGTGATACAAATGAGGGCTGATTTGAACTACAGCTTAACATTAATTTAAATTATATGACTAATTGTGAACCACACCTACTTTGACAAAATATTCAAGTAACCTCTATTTGTTACCCTTTATCGATAAAAACGTGGAGAAGCAAATATGTATTTAACAATCTGTGATGAATTCCTATGCTGACTTGCATTTAGAACAATAAAATATGACTGCCTAACAAAGTTCCACAATGCAAAGACCAGACTTTGGTCGACTGCGATTTGTGTAAGATCATTTTCAAGGGGAAAAGGAGATAGGAAATCCCCGCTGCAATATAAGGAAGGTTGAGTCAGTTTGAATCTAGAGATTGGCCAAACTCTTCACTGATAGACTATCATTGAATGTCCACGCAGTAGACAAAAGTACTTGAATAAGTGATTAGAGGAAGGGGTGATTGAACTAGTTGAAACAACCAGGGAAATGACGCTAATTTGTCATCCTTCTCTTTTGAACTTTTTTTCCTTCTAAAAACTTCTCTTTTGAACTTGTTTCTTGGAATTAAGGTTACATTGCACGAAAAGCTCCATTGACATACTAAAACAGCATGGTAAAAACCAAACAGATAAAGTCCTCCTCCATTTTAACCTATAAAATGTATGTATCTGCGAAAAAGCTACCACCATAGTTAAGCCGTTAGTGAGCAGTATCTACATCAATGATTACATGTTTCCACATGTATAAAGCACATATTTGCTTCTTTATGTGCGTTCTTCCTCTTTCCCGAGTCTCTCTATCTCCATGTTTATATGTATGTCCATGTGAAGCATATGCATGTCCTACTTGACCCAAGTTTATTACCTAATCGCCTTTAGAAAATGATAAGACATCATGTATAAAGTTTTAACTACAGTCCTGCTAGGAGTAAGGAGTCTGATCCCTTGACGAAAGTGCTGAATTGAATTCTGAACCTATAACGTCCATCACTTTGGGACGAAAACTATCATTATGCAAAAGCTCATGCTCCTTTATTTTGGTCAAACCTGTAAGAAGGAGATTGAAGTTGGAGCAATTTATTTTCTAGGAAGGTGTTGGGTATGATCGAATTGCATTAGTCTTTCTTTTTTCCTTCAATACGCCAATCAAACTAACAAGTTTTCAGCTACCTTTTGATTTATAATGCATGTGTGTTAATATCTTGCACCTTGCGGCTAATATTATGCAAAATGATATTGCAGATGGTATCTCAATTTTACTGGTTCAGTTATGTTGTCCACAATGGAAAATGGGAAAATTGTAAGAGGTCTAGCAGGGGTCCCATGTGAAGGCCCTGTATTGTTGGTTGGTTATCACATGCTTATGGGTTTAGAAGTAATCCCTCTTGTTGAAGAATATTTGAGGCAGAAGAAAATTTTACTTCGTGGTATAGCACATCCAACATTGTTCACTCAGCTGATTGAGAGTGAAACTAACGAAAGTTCAATCTTTGATATGCTGAGACTATATGGAGCTACGCCTGTCAGTGCCAGCAACTTTTTTAAGTTGCTTGCAACAAAGTCACATGTTCTGCTGTATCCTGGTGGTGCCCGTGAGGCCTTACATCGTAAGGTGCGTCATAATCTTCCCTTGGTTAATTACATCTTCTATATTATTCTTAAATGGGAAGCCTTGTACTATTCTGTTCATGCCTTCTCCTACAAGTCTGATAAGATTGTTATCCACTTTAAAATCATTCTTGACTCCTGTTCATACCTTTACACTAGGATGTACTGGTACTTAATACTGGAATTCTCTGCTTGTAGATACATTTTCTTCTGTAACTAGAGGAATTTAATGAATAGTGGAGTCATGGAGGATTATACCCCTCATATATGCCTAAAACCATAAAGATGGCCAGGGCTAAAAATAACTCACTTCAGAAAAGGAAAAGTACCGTTAGCTAAAAGTAAGGCCAGTGCTGAACAGAAAGGCTCACAGAGGAGATTCTTTACAGTTTTGCAATTACAGTGGTCTCCATTTGGTGGCAAGCTAACCACTATGATATACACTTATCTAGTTAGTGTGTCTCTTTATAGAACATTTCATAGTTTGGTGAAATTGATGCCGGAAAATTACATTTCTGCATGTGTATAAATGTCTCTATATGTGTTATTTAATTAAAATGCATAATGTGTTAGTTCATGATTCTTATAAGTTATAACTTAGCTGAACTTCCCATCAAGTTAGTTAAGATATAACTGGACATATTGGAAAAGTTTTAGAGATTTAGGTTGTCTGTTACTTCTCATTAGTTCCATACACTGGAATGTCAAGGGCGTAAAAGAGGACGCCAATTTAACTGGAAAATAAAAAATTATTTATGATGTCAGTGACGTTAATGAGCAATTAAAGCTCATTTTGCTTGTGAATTTGATGAAGACATCTAGCAACGGAAAAATAACAAAGCAGTGCTTTCTTGCTGGAAAATAAGAGAAGAGACTTAATGTATCAAATAATTGACGATATGATGAATACATGACACACTTTAAGTATCAACCTCTATACACATAATATTTGTCCATTGTGTGATATATCTTACTTAAGAATTGAATCTTGAAATATTCTAACTCTTATCATTTTAACTATTAACAATTAACAGTTTACTTCTAAGATAACAGCAAGCACCTTATATTCTTGAACTTCGACAGAGCTTATGTAGTCATAGTCTCTTTTAGGGATATGTTACAACCATTATTCCCAATAACAAAGTGAGAATATCACCTTTTCTTTTGGAAATGTTTGCTTCAAAGTGGATTTAGTATAGTTTTCTGTGCTTTTCTGTAACTGCTATTCACAAAGGTAAGTTGAAGAGAAAGACTGGTGACTGGCTGTCTTCTAGTGTACCTCATCGAAATGACAAGAAAATAACAATAACCTCATAGTCATCAAGTTAGGGTTTTTCCTTGTGATGTTATTTCCTATGTTGGTGGTTTTGTATTTGTGATAGGGAGAAGAGTACAAGGTGATTTGGCCTGACCAACCAGAATTCATCAGAATGGCTGCAAGATTTGGTGCGACAATTGTGCCATTTGGCGTTGTTGGGGAAGATGATATAGCACAGGTTTGTTTATGCTGTCCTACATATGTTTTCCTTTGCAACATTGGAAGAAATAATGATGCTTTTTGGTTCCTTGATATTATTTCCCTTAAAAGCTTTGGTCACGTATCTGTTAGCTAGTCTCATTTCAATTTGGAAGTTGCAATGAGTTATTTTCTCTTGGGTATATTGCATTTTCGAATAAATTAATCTTGAAAGAGATTTAACTCGTAGAAATAGGAGTAGAACAAGGAAGAACTATTCACTTATCCCTTTGATCTATATATAGTGACTTGTTCATTCTTGGAATTGGAACCAGTTATGTACCATTTCTCAACATATTCTTGCCTGATCTTAGCTGTTCTGATTGCAGTTAGTTCTCGACTATGACGACCTAAAAAGGATTCCTATATTGAGTGATCAGATAAGGCGTGACAACGAACTGGCTGCGAGGATGGGTGTAACAGTCAGGTTCATTCATGGTTCCCTATTGTTTTTGTCTCGTTTCCTAGTATTTGCTCCTACCTCTCTTGCTTCTTTCATTCTGAACCATTTATAGTTATATCCTCTTTAACTGTTCTATAAATCTTTCTGTAGGAGGGACATGACTGGGGAGGTTGCCAACCAAACGTTGTATCTCCCGGGCATTTTACCTAAGGTACCCGGTCGTTTTTACTACTTGTTTGGAAAACCTATTCATACAAAGGGAAGGCAGGACTTGTTGAAAGACAGAGAGAAAGCAAGAGAATTGTACTTGCATATAAAATCTGAAGTTCAAAATAGCATGAATTATTTGCTTAAGAAAAGAGAGGAGGATCCTTACCGAAGCGTCATTGATAGGACCACATATAGAGCATTTTCTGCTACTTTTGATGATGTCCCAACATTTGATTATTAGGTGATGAGTTAGAAGTTAGATTTATTTTTATAGTAGATGATGTATACGTATTCATGGTTCAATTTTATGTTGTATATCAAATTTTTCTCCCACTAAGTATATCCCAATATGAGCAAGCTTTCCACCAATGACAGGATTGATCAAGCAGAAACAATTTTTAATTTTTTCCGCAGAGATTGTTCTAATCGTCAAAGATTATGTACACATTGCACCTATGATCTTGAGAAAGGGAACCTTGGCGTTACGGGTAAAGTTGCTACCATGTAATCAGGAGGTATCGGGTTCAAGCCGTGGAAATAGCCTCTTGTAGAAATGCAGGGTAAGGCTCCATACAATTAGACCCTTGTGGTCCGGCCCTTCCCGGACCCTGCGCATTGCGGGAGCTTAGTGTACCAGGCTGCCTTTATTTCTTGCACCTATGATCTTGAGGGTCATCAGATTAAGTACCACTTTGATCCTGCTTTAGTTCAATTTCAAAGCTAAGCCACTAACTAGGCTCCAATATGAAAACTCAACTGCAGTTACTTTTCCCTGTTATCACAACATGTGCATCAACTGCAGCTGATCCACTACAAGAAAATTGACTTTCAGCTACCAGTTTTAGCGAAGGGACATAAATCTGATCGTTATAGATGTACTTAAAATGACCAAATCTTTTTGGGGATTGGGGTCCTTTTCAACATTAGCAAGAGGATTATATACCGTCCTTAAGAAGCATAATAATATTCGGATTTCGGACTATTTGTTGGTTATCACAGGTTGTTTGGACTTTGGAGCTGAAGTGGGTGGATGTAACTGAAGAACTGAGGCAGAAAAAATCATTGTCTCATCCAGATAAGTTTGCACCAGATTCTCTTTTTAATACATATTCCCCCTTCCAATATAACGAAGGTTGACGGAACACGGCGTTAAAGAAAGAAAGAACTAAAGACTTTTGGAACATGTCCAAATATAGAGAGGCGCCAATTTTTTTTTTTAAACATACTAATAAGGAAATATTGTTGTATTTTCTTATTCCTGGTTCGTCATTAGTACATGTTGTGTCATTCGCTTCCATTACCCTGTTACCTTGTTGTTGCAATTATTTGTTACTTTATTTTCACTGTTCCTTGAGCTGAGGGTCTACCGGAAATAACATCTCTATCTTCATAAGGTAGGGGGTAAGGTCTGCATACACATTATTCTCCCCAGACCCCACTTGTGGGATTACACTGGGTTTGTTGTTGTTGTTGTTGTTACTAATAAGAAAATAGTACCACATAAATTATTAGAATTTTCAAATACCCAATACTTCTTTCCTCCCTCTGAGCCGAGGGTTTATTGGAAACAACCTGTCTATCTTCGCTAGGTAGAGGTAAGGTTTGCGTACACACTACCCTTTTCAGACACCACTTGTAGGAATATATTGGGTTTGTTGTTGTTGTTGTAATACTTCTTTCCCCAAAAGTCTTTCTTCAAGTAAAAGTAAGAGATTCTATTCCAATTGCAAAAAACCTTATCTGGTAGCTTGTTCTAATTCTTGGAGGTTCAAATTGGAGTAATCTAATTCTTTACTTGAAGAGTGAAATATTCACATTTATCTCTTATACCCTGAACTATTCTCACAAAAAAAATCTCTTGTTCCCTGTTGACTTTTTGGCCTTCTTAGCCCTCTCATGCAGGGCGGAGCTAGAGTGTCGGGAGCCGGTTCGGCTGAACTCAGTAACTTTGGTTAGAACCATGTATTTGTCTTAACAAAATCAATTGAATATATATATAAATTATTAATTTAGAACTCAGTAATTTAAAATGATTAGAATTTCGAACCCATAAGTTTGAAATGCTGGCTCCGCCTCTGCTCTCGTGAAAATCCACCGACGGGTAATGAAAACTTCATAGCCAGGCAAAGTAGGAGAATTTGGTTCTTTCACAGTATAGACAAAGCTAAGAGAATCCAAAGATATAACAGTAGAAACAAAATAAAGAAGAGAATGTATACACGTGCAACATGACTCTACTTCTCTATATAAGGAGAAACTTTAACTTGGTTTTAATCAAGGAAGGGGAAAAAACCTAAGCAATAAGCTATAGTCTAAATAATAGTTTATGGCTGGTTATGGCAAGGGTCCATACCAAGATGATTGGGGGAAGCCAATTACTACTGTAAGTGACTACCCTGATCATGTCCATCGCCCTGTTATCATTGGTGGAGTCAAGGGCTATGTGGTGAGAGCTCAAAGAATTGTTGAAGTTCGCCATAGTTATGATTCGAGAGGTCTTGTAGACGAGTACAATGTGCACGACGAATGGGACAATCATGGTCCTAGGAAGGTCCATGACTTCTTTGATAAAGTTCATAATCAAGCTAGTCGATCAACTCATCCCACTCTTTTGAGCTCTCCAAAGTGGAGCACTAAGCCTAGTTGGAGGAGTGAAGATGATGACTCTCCCAAGTATAGTGAGCATCGCGATTTTAGTGGGAGCCCTCTTCGCAATAAGTTTGAAGGATTGCACCTTCAAGATAATCGAGGATTAAGTCCATTTTCGTATAGGAAAGATGGTTATGAAAAGCCTGGCTTCACTCACTCCGCGGATTCTCCCAAGGCTGGCCATTTCAAGGACTATGGAGTCAACAACAAATGGGATTCACCACCTAGATCAAGAGGAATAAGCCCATATAGCAACAACCAAGATGATTATGGCAAGCCAACATTCAATGGAGGTTACAAAACAACTAGTCCTCCACTTAGCCAGGCCACAAATGATATTGGCACTGCTATGAAGATCCTTGAGGAAGGTAATAACACTTTGGCTTCTCCTACTTATGCACCACAATCACATTTTCCAGCATCTTACTCAACTCCACATAGAAAAGAGAGTTATCCTGAGAGAACCCAAGGTGGAAAGCCTCTGGCTTCACCTGTTTCTACACAACCATCCTATTATCCAGCATCTAATCTGACAACCGAAAGGAAAGAAAGTTACCCTGAACCAACAAAAGGAATGAAGCCTCTATTTTCCCCTGGTTATACACAACCACCACATGTACCAACTTCAAACCCGCAGCCTCAAAGAAAAGAAAGGTACCCTGAAACAGCGCACGGCGCAAAGCCTCTGTTTTCCCCTGGTTATACACAACAACCACATTCACCAACTTCAAACCCACAGCCTCAAAGGAAAGAAAGTTACCCTGAAACAGCGCATGGGGCAAAGCCTCTGTTTTCCCCTGGTTATACACAGCAACCACATTTACCAACTTCAAACCCCCAGCCTCAAAGGAAAGAAAGTTACCCTGAAACAGCACATGGCGCAAAGCCACTGTTTTCCCCTGTTTATACACAACAATCACACTTACCAACTTCAAGTCCAATGCATCAAATAAAAGAAAGTTACTCTGAGATAGCACACGATGCAAACCCTCATTTTTCCACTGGTTCTGCACAACAACCACATTATCCAACTTCAAATCCAACACCTCAAAACATAGAAAGTCACCCGAATAAACCACAAGGTGGGAAGCCTCTGTTTTCCCCTGCTGGTAAGCAACAACCACACCCTCCAACATCACATTCAACACCTGAAATGAAACAAAGCTACCCTGATCATGAAACACGAGGTTGGAAACCATCATTTACCCCTTCTTCTCCACAAAAGGAACACTACAGTCCCCAAATGGAAGACCGTTACCCCGACAAAATCCAGGGCGGTAAGTCTTTTCCATCTCCATATGAGGAACCGCGCTATGGTTCAATTGTCCCATCAAAAGAAGCCATTAATAGCAGTGAAGCCAAGAAAAGGTATGCCAACTTAAAACCAGTGTCACCAGCACATATGAAATACAATGGAACACTTGATAGCAGAGAGGCTGTGAAAAAGTACAACGGTGCATTTGTTCCTTAGAGAAATGAAGGGTATTACTTGACTTATTGAAGATGGTTTCTGCTGCAACGATAATCGAGCACATCATATCTTTGTTTTCTACTTTGCGAGTGTGGTAATGTTTTCTTGAGTGTTTGTGTTTGAATAAAACTATGATATGGTAAGTTGTAGTTGCTAGTCTAGTAGTAATACAGTTTGGTTATGTACTTGTGATTGCATATGAAATGAGAAAACAGTTGTGTTTATTATGTAAATTGGTTCATGGTTTGGCAAATGAGTTGTTTGTTTCCAACCTAGCTTAGTGAACTGGATACAACAACAACACCACCAACAACAACAATAACAACCCAGTGTAATCCCACAAGTGGGATCTGGGGAAGGCAGGAGGTACGCAGCCTTACCCCTACCTTGGAAGGGCAGAGAGACTGTTTCCGATAGACCCTTGGCTAAAGAAGCTTAGTGAACAGGATAAGTTGGATAAATTTCTCATTCACTGGACAAACTTAACTTCATCTAATTTCGAAAAGTACCATACTTAGATCAAATTTATTATTTGAAATCATCCTCTTGATCAAGTTAATATTGATTTCAACTTTACTTTAATCTAATTTCCAGTATAGTTTGGCCAAAACTTATTACTTTGAAATAGAATTTTAAAAAGTGAGTACACTGTCCACCTGTTCCATAGAAATAAAAACCAGGCAGAAAGATCAACAAAGCAACAGCAAAAAATGAAAAGTAAAACCAAAATAAAATTCCAATAATGAGGTAATTCATGAGCTAATACGGGAAACCAACTATAGGAAGTCCATCACAAACAACAAAAGGTATGAACTGGAGTGAACAAAGTCCAAAACACGAAATTTGGATATGAGAATTATCAAAGTTGGAAGAAAGTCCATTCCTGTATGAATTTGACTATAAATTCTATTTAGACATAAATTAAGTAACTAGCAAATTTAAAATTCTAAACAAGAAACTACAACTTTGAATTAGTTTTCCAACATATCTTTATTCTGATTAATCTTGTTCGATTGTTCACAAGTCAGGACGGATTGATATGATTTGATATTATCTTCATTTACCTTTCTTGTTCAATTATTCACATGTCAGGATGGATCGATGTCACTTGTTAATAAAAAAAATTGCCATTAATTAAGGAAATAGCTCCAATTAAGACTGACACTCTGAGAAGAACTTAAGATAATTAGGTGCGCAGATTTAGGTAAAACACATCAGGTTCCAAAATATGATAAATCTTAATTTATCG